ATGTGTCTCGTTACTGTCTCTATGATCATTGTTGTTATCATTATCATAATCTATGATCGTTGTTAACATCAAACTTATTCAGAACTACAGGTGCCACTTCTTATTCTCATTACCGTGCTGTTTGGGAGATACATGTTGTGGTTTCGTTGGAAGCCGCAGTCAGATTGTCATGAATGTCGAACCCGGATTAATCAACCTCCTGGTTATAAACCCTAGTTGTAACTTGTAAAAGCCTAGTCAACCCCTGTAGAAACCAACTGAACTAACCATGGGGCACCATTAAACCTCCATCATTATTGGTTAAATCCCACGAAATCACCATGTTTGTTGATGAAATCTCCATTAGATCCCCAATTTCAAGCAGCTCTAGCTGGATTCTGAATCCATCGCCAGGAGAGCACAGAAGGCAATTTCCACTTACACCACGGATGGCGCCACCTAGGCATTCGAGTTTGGGATGGGCTGCGGGTTGCGAGGGAACAAAGGAGATGAAAACAACACCGTTCTGTGAGAGAGTCGGAAGATTTTTTTTGCTTGGTGAAGCATTGTGTGATATGGTGCAAAAAGAACAACTTTGCAGGGGACCTGGAAAGCCAATGTTTATAGAAGAAACATGCCTAGAGCTTCACAGAGTGATCTTGGGATGTTTTGAATATTGGACCTATCTTGGAAGCAACACCACAGAACCAGGATCTAACCAACAAGTCTTTGGGGATCTCCGCTGGATTTCAAAAGTGGTATCTATAGCACTTTGAGTGCAGCAAAGTGCCATGTCGTGCCCCAAGAATTCGTGCCCAAATCTCACAGTTTCACAGTAAATTGCGGATATTATAGAGACTGGTTTGTCAAAAATTCATGTACCACACTTATTTTCTTTGCCAATGGGGAATATGATCATCCTCCACCGGATGTGTTTTTCCTCAACCATTTTTTCAGAGCTTCAACTTTTCCATGCGAGGTGATCGACCTAGCTGCTCCTATTCAAGGACTTGGTGGTGCCGGATGGCTTTGGTCCATTTTCTTTGGTGATAAAATGGATAAACTGGTATTTATTTTGTTAGATGGTTCGTTTTTTTTTAAAATAACTTGGTCCATATTTTTTTGTGAGTAAAAAAGGCTAGGAGCCGAGCCATGATGGTCTGGTTCAAGTCCTGGGTGTAACAGCACCAGTTGTCAGGAACTTACTGCCATTTTTCCAATCATTTGATCCACCAATCAGGACATCCGTGCAAAACGTCGGGATTTTAGCCATTCTTTTTTTGGAGGGGTCCGGTGGGCTGCCAACAACGGGATTGTCCGGTTGGGGCTGGGATTTGTTGTTTATGAAGATCCAAGTTTGATGCTTGACTTATGATTTGAAGGTTAAACCCATTTTTTTTGCTTGAATCCATCTTTTTCCCCATCACAACTGTTAGATTTGCTTGGTGAAAACCAAGTTTTGGTCGGTGAAGCCCCAATTCTAGATGGTAAAACCAGTGAAATCCACCAATTTTCAACATTTTCATGCGGAGTTTTCTAGAGTTTCTCAGTTTTTCTTGGCATTCCCAATTTTTCTGGGTAAATTATAACGACCTCACTGTTCTCCCTCACTGGAAATCATGGTTAATAAAGGAAATCATCCCAAATTGCCTTAATTCAGGTTAGTGAAATATTATAATCTACTCTAATTTTTGGTTCCTGGTTTCAGCACAGCTTTCGTTTCCCGAATCACAGGAGGCGACCCTCTCAGCTGAACTTCGCAGCGGTGCTTCCCAGCGGCGTCAGCGATGTGAGCGTCGTGCAGAGCCAGAGGTGGAGCCCGGTGATCTAAGCGCATGGGGATGTGGGGAAATAGATGGGTATCCTCTGGTAAACTGTCCCATAACTATGGACAATCACATTTTTTAATGGGAAAATCAACTATTTATGGGAAATAGATGGGTACCCTCTGGTTATGTCAACATAGCTATTGAACATGGCCATAGAAATAGTGGATTTTCCCATTAAACATGGTGGATCTTTCAATAGCTATGTTAAATTACCAGAGGGTATCTCCATTTGACTTTTAAGTTTGAGTGTACCTGGTTCTTGCTGCTCAAGAGCGAGGTAGGTCAAAACCACTGATAATGACTTTTTGGGCCAAACTGACCAAAAACTGTGGCTAAAGGGATGGTATCTATCTATACATCTATCTATCTATCCTATTCTATTCTATCCTATTCTATTCTATCCTATCCTATTCTATTCTATCCTCTTCTATCCTCTTCTATCCTCTTCTATATTCTATATTCTATATTCTATATTCTATATTCTATATTCTATATTCTATATTCTATATTCTATATTCTATCCTATTCTATTCTATTCTATTCTAATCTATCTATCCATCTATCCATCTATCCATCTATCCATCTATCCATCTATCGATCTATCCATCTATCCATCTATCCATCTATCTATCCATCTATCTATCTATCCATCTATCTATCTATCCATCTATCCATCAATCAATCTATCTATCAATCTATCTAATCTAATCTAATCTAATCTATCTAAATCTATATAATCTAATCTAATCTAATCTAGTCTAGTCTAATCTAATCTAATCTAATCTATCTAATCTATGTAATCTATCTAATCTATCTATCTATCTACCTATCAATCAATCAATCAATCAATCAATCAATCTAATCTATCTAGTCTATCGATCTATCGATCTATCTATCTATGTATCTATCTATCTATCTATCTATCCATCTATCCATCTAATATATCTAATCTATTCTATCTAATCTATTATATCTAATCTATTCTATTCTATTCTGTTCTATGCTTTTCTATTCTATTCTATTTTATTCTATTCTCTCTCTCTCTCTCTATATATATATATATACCTCTCTACACTTTTATGCATACAAAATTGTTGTAAGTAATTATGTTGGTACCTCTTCTCCACAAAAAAACGGATGCTTTCAGAGATTTGGCAAGCCTTTCCACGTTAGTTAGACAGGAATCTGAGGAACTTGTGGGACCTGGTGACACCGGGGATACCTTGATATGGGATATAATTATCTTGAAATAGATAGAATATGGAATTTTAAAACAAATTCGATATAGTTCATGTTTTTTTTTCACAGGTCCATATTATACTCCAGGATGAGACAAGAATCGTTATAAGAACTTAGTTTGACTACAGAAAGATTACAGAAGAGATCCAAAATGCATCCCAAGGCATTACAGAAGAGGTTACATCCGCAATCCACCATGTTGGCAACATCGTTTTGGCAAATTGCCTCCGGACAATTTTTTCACCAATGGAGGATCTTCAGACCATAGATTCTTGCCATTTCTTGCTGAACGATAGGGATTCTACAGCCGGGGATGTTGAATTGCTCGAGGTTACCCTGCAGCAAAAGGGCCTTTTTGTCCACAAGATTTTTGATAGCAACCTCAAAAAATTGGGTCCTAGTTAGACACTTTCATGATGTTTCATGTAGTAGCCACAAACTCATTCTACCATCCTAGTCAGACAATCCTAGATCCAAAAATTGGATCCTAGTTAAATGATCTATTTCAGGGATGAGACATCTAGACCTTGTAGACCGAAGGAGAACTCCTTGAATTCTGCGCAGGTTGAAGTACCTGCCCAGATTGCGAATCATTTGGGCTTGCCTTACAGGCTTGATGATCATTTTTGCACCTCGGCAATTGGTTAAATCCGCTGCAGGAGACAATCCTTTGCGGGTGCATCCCAGGACTTGATATGTTGTTGGTTATAACATGTAATAATTATATGACATAGCCCAGCTAGATGAATGGATGATGTGTTTTTTTTTTTTTTTCCGGGTGATATGATTAGTTTAGCAACCACTTAGAAGTCCTGGGATGCACATCCAAGGTGATTATGGTGAATTCTCCGATGTTGATACGTTGGATATATGATATGAGTATTTTACAAACCTGGGCTTGCCATAAACCCATGGTTGTTTCAGTGCTAAACTAGTAACATTTGGCTTTGGGGTCCACCATCTTAAAGAAACATCCATATCACACATTTTGTCCGTCATTTGTTCGCATATGTACCTGCAAAAGACCATGCATATTTACAGCATGTGTCATACTTGTAACATATACCTGTAGATATACAAACTATACACGTGTGCTTATTTACATATGTACATGTTTTTTTTGCTATTATTCTTTTTATCTCTTCTTATCAATGCTAACAATTAAATTAAGATAATTACAGTAGTTGATAATTGATTCATTAATGACTTATTTATAACAAGTAGTAAAAGTCAGTCAATGGCTTGCGTTTTTTTTTTGTTTGTTTTGATATATATATATACACATTTATTCAAAATAAACGAGTTTTCTTGAATCTTTCTATTTTTTGTTTTGCTAGTCAGACAGCTACTCCTGTCTGAAGGCGGTCAGTGGGTGTCGTACACATGGGGACCGGGATCCCAGCCAACTTGGATGGATAGCTAAGAACTTGGATAGCTAAAAAACTATGCAAGATAGTATAACATACTAATAAAACATATTCTTTTATAACATAATACAGTATAACATAACACAGTATATAGTATAATATGTGATGTAAAATGTAACCTGATATAACATAATAAGACAAGATATAGTATGATATAACTCGATCTAATATAGCATAACCTAATATAACATAGCATGATATAATATAATATCATTTAATGTAATATGATACAATATGTTTTGATACAGCATGATATAATATAATAAAATACAATATAATATAATATGTTTTATTTTAATATGATATAAGATAATATGACGTAATATACTATGAAAGAACATATTCTGATATAACATATTAAGCTGCACTATGCTATAATTTAAAGTAATATGATATTCTTAAAACAACATAATCTATGTATATCATATAATACATGTTGGTTTGAGTTGGTGGTTTCCACTACACATTTGTTTCAACCCCCTTTGGCCCAAAGGCGGTCAGTGAGTGTTGGACACACATCGTTCTTGTACAGAACCAGCTTAGGTCTGGTCGAGCTTACGCAGTTTTTGGAAACACATACTTTCTTTCCAGACCGCCTAAACCACGTTTTTTCAAAACAACACTTTAGCTTGAAAACTTCAAGCTTCCCAACCCCCAAAATACCAACCCAAACCACCACCTAAGCACACGTTGATCCGTTTTCATTGGTATATCACCATTATCAGCATTATTCATTACTATTAGGGTGATGATGATAATGATGATGATGATGGTGGTGGTGATGATGATGGTGATGGTGATGGTGATGGTGATGATGATGATGATGATGATCATGGTGATGACAGCTATTGTTATTGTTATTGTCATTACTATCATTGTTTTATTTATCACTAAATTTTTGGTTCAATACCCAAGAGTTTCTGGGACAACATTTTTTCTTTCTGACTTTGACACTCTTGGCCTTTGTGTTGCTTACTCGCCCCGTTTCGATGGAAGGAGTACTGCAATCTAGTAGGTTCTTCTAGGGGATGTTTTTCTTTTTTAAACGGCGCGAAACTTGAAACTACACATGTTTATTGCGGAGTTTCCAACCATTTATTTCCTTGGTTGGTTGAACAGAGCAGATCCTCGACTTTCCAGGGTTCAAAAACCAGACATTTTTCGTAGGACAACCTCACCATCCCCCTGATGGTCTTCACCGACTATCGCCTGTGGGCCGGCGAGTTGATCTTCTGGTGCCTTGGAACTGGTTGGATGTGGCAACCTGAGATAAACTGATGAACTTATAAGGGCACCGAAAAAACCACCTTAGTGGGACGCACCATCAATTCCAAAGCAGGTACTTATCCGACTTAACACCTGGAAGAATTGGCCATGTTTAGTCTGAACTCATCCATTTATGGGGGCTACGCCATGACCATCCATTATGAACATAGTTGGGCATCGCTGCGAGCAGGAGGTGATGGAAAAATGTGCGATCTGCTTTTCGGGCACTAAAACTTGCCCATGTTTGACCCAGAAAACAACAAAACAAGGTGGGCTTCTTCAGAGGTGATCGAGGTCTGCTGTATGTTGGCAGTCAAGGGTGGAGGTCTGACCCCCTCTAGATTTTCCACGATTTTTCCCATGCATTCATCTCCTCCAGAGACATCAGCATGTTGAACCCTGAGCCAGGACAAAAACAGGTGTGTGAGAGAGAAAACTATATATCATGGATATATACGTATATATATATAGATAGATAGATAGATAGATAGATAGATAGATAGATAGATAGATAGTGATTATAAAGGCTACCCTCCCCTCCAACCTAAGTTTCTGGCCATTTCTAGTTTCTTTGAAGGGCGTTCTTCTTGAGGCGAAAGGGAGGTGAGACCCCAGCATAACTATGGCATTTGATGCCTAGGGTATACACATATACTGTAAATAGATATCTCAATATATTTTGGTTGAACTGGACTCCTATCGAGCTGCGGCTGCAGTCTTTGCAAAGCTGGCCTTGGATCTGACTTGTGGGAAGTCCACCCGGTTATGATGAAGGAAACGTCATCCTAGGATCCTGGAAAACCATTGGAAAACCATTCGTACCCAAACCGCGACTTTCATGTGGATAGTCCAAACGGATATCCACTGCTAGTTTTAGTTCCCCTGGGTCAAGACAGAGCCAGATGTAACGGCCACCAAGGATCTTGAATTTGCCGGTGCGACTTTTTTTGCTCTTCTATTTTGGCCATGGTACGCTGATTGCTCTGCCGGGTCTGGAAGAGATTGGGAATCCACATAGATTTTTTTCGGACTATGTGGAACGCTGTGTTATTTTGTCATCCTGAAATGTAGCTTCATTCAATATGGAACCGATTTGGGGATTCACACAACTTGGATTCCCAACATTTGGCCCTTGCTGATCAATGACCTGGGTGCCCCGAAAAGGCAACGGAAATGTCTCCTGTTTCTGTTGAATGAGATCAATCGATTTTGTCCAGTTTTTTGCCAACACATTTTAGATCATTTTGGGTATATATTTTTTGGCATTTTTGTAGTCTCTCATTTTCACCACTTTCCCTGTGGCGGACTTCGTCAGGACAGACGTGGGGCAAATGCTTTGCAGCGCTGGAGGTGCCGCTTCTCACGGTGTGACCTGGCGGAGAAGCGGACTTTTTGAGGGTGTTCCAGAGAATTTCAGCATCATTTGTAAGGGGTTTGTAAGGGGTTTGACCATTAAACTTAGTAGCTTAGTAAATTTCCAAAGTCAAGTCTGATTTAAGTCACCAGTTGACCCTGCTTTTGAATTATTTAACGAGATCTTAACCGCATTTAAGCATCATCACTGTGGAACTCCAAGTTTATTAACGAACCGACTATGACCATCTTATGGGGATGAACAGCAAATTTCTATTGGTTTTTATATATCACCATTTTTATGGGCTGGTTTACCCATCGTTATGACATTTATCTAAAATGGAGATAAAAAAGGTGATATAAAAATAGAGATATCACCATTTTATGATTGTTTTACCCACATTACAGAGTTATACATTAGGCGATAGGTGATGCTTTGATTCTGGCGGCCAGTCGCATGAGCGGGGATCACCCCATGATGGGAAAATCATCGAAGCTGGTTTCGTGGTTTCGTTCGCTGGGAGAATCACCGAAGTAAATGGTGGATTTTCCATTGCCATGCTAGATTACCAGAGGGTATTTCTGATGTAGGAATGAGAACAATTTGTGCAGATCATCTGAAATAGTATGATATAGCATGATATTGTGGGGATATAATCGGGATATTATGGGATATGTGGCTAACAAATTGATATGTAGTTAGTTGATTTGGTTGGGTATTGAATCAAAATTGTGAGTGCTTGATGATTATAGGGAACATGGCCCCCTGGCAGTTATAACTACCCGAATGGGTCCTATCTGGGATACACGTTGGATATTTAGCGGAAGTATGTATGCACATGGCCAAAAGAGCAGTTTCAAAACCCTAGTTAGTTGACGATTATTTTTATCATTTCATGGTGATGATATACTAAGATGATGTAGTAGGGTTCTGCCATTGGGATTTTGATTGATTGATAGTATGGTTGGGATAGCTGAGATAAGTGGGATATAAGACACATGAGTAGTTGCCAAAACCAATCGTTTTACCGGTTTTTCTGATGGGGATCTCATTGGGATATGGCTCGGCTGGCTGGGCCAGAGTCATGGAGGCGGTTGGTGCCTTCTCAGCCGATAGGTAAAAGATGAATAAAGATTACATTATTGCATACCCAACCGGCCCATCCATTTTGATCAAAAGGACATTGCTGGGTTGATCAAAATTTGTGGATGTATGTTTTTAAACACATATACAGATGTATTGAAAGACCCTTCCCAGTTTGAATGGAACCCTATGATGATGGATTCTTACCAGATATAAAATAGAAGGGCCTCATCTACAGGTAGTCAAGTTAGATTTATTGGTTGGTTCGCTATTGTGTGCCTTGTTGTATCATGCTACATCCCCACTTCTTTGTTGTCGCCAGATCCAGAAAGTTACGTATCAATATTCGACTCATTGTTGGTCGTTTGTTTGAACCCATTGCTTGAACGTTGACTGGTTGAATCCACCTCACGTTCAATCCTGACTTAGGAAGGCTAACAGTAAATGACAAAAACCTGTTTCCTTTCTTTTTTTGTGCGGCTCAAGCACCACCATTGGGTGTGTGCCCGTGTTCATGGGAAACCTTGTAGCGGCCCATCTAAGATCGGTCATATAGCCCTAGAAAGGTGAAACGTAACATCCTAGCTAATTTAATGGTGAGTGTCGCCTTTTGCAATGTTTTTCGGGTTTGCCAGACTATATCACCATTAGAATTTCTATCGGTTCATGCTTGACCCCATTTTTCTTGATTTAATTCCTAGTTCTTAGTTGGATCACCATTTAAAACCAAATTTGGGGGTTTATTCACATCAATCCCAGCTATTTTCATGTGAGCAGAAGGATACTGATCCCCTGATCGTGCTTTTTTCGTCCAGGATGATCTATGAATGGCTAGACGAGAGCGCTTCGCCCTTGTGGCAAGGCGGGTGGGATGGAATGCAACGAGCAGCAGTTGATGAGTAGCTGGTTAGCCATGGTTACCCTAGGATAAACTAACATAACCATGGAAAATCACCATCTTTAATAGGTAAATCAACTATAAATGGGCCATTTTCAATAGCTATGTTAAATTACCAGAGGGTAAACTAAGAAAATAGCCACGGGGAAGATCCAGGAACCAAAATTGATCTATGGTGGGATTTCCACTTTGTAAACTGTTAGTTTACAGGAGGGTAATGTAAAATGAATGGGTTGATATACTATTAAATTAGCATTTTATGGTTAATATAATACTCTGTTTTATGTAACCAACTATTTTATGGGGAGATGCACATATATATATATACACATCATTATATATATATGTATAGATAAACAAGAAGCAATGATGGGAAATGGTTTGGGGGAATCATCCCAAAAGGAGGATAACGGGAATATAAGCCAACCTTTTTTCTGGGGATATAATACCGATGTAATTGGAGATATAACCAACAATATGATTGTGGAATTGGTTGATCATTATCTGTATTCATATAGTGGGAATTTAAGCATTGTTCGTAGGGCTTTCAAGCATTAAACGGAGATACACATTGACATTGTTGATGATTGGTTCAGGGGTTAGTTATACCAGTTAAATCTGGGAGGTAATGACTTGAACTGGGAATACAGTATTGGGGTGATTTTCAAATCTGGTTTTAGGTGTTTGCCAGGCGGGTCTTGTGAATCAAGGGTTTTTCACCAAGCAACAACTGTGGCGGACCTCTTCAGTGGTTTGGAAAAATGAGGAACGATGATTGTTCTTGGGGTCTGTTTAGAATCATCCAGATGTTTCTTGATTGCTGCGTACTGTCCCCATTTCTTCTGTCTCTTCTTCCTCTTGTTTGTGTTTCTTGGTTCCCCTTGTTTTGTTGGTTCTCCTTCATAATGATCATAGACCCTTGTAAGAGCATTCGATTTCTGCAATTACCATCGTTCACTGGTTACACCACGATTCCTGGTGAGACCTCCCTTTTTTCACCCAGATCCATCGCTTTCACAAGATTCCTGACGGGTATTCACCAAGCAAAACCAAGCATCCGTGGTTGGAACAACCAGACTGGTAATTTGTGGGCCTTGAAACCCAGCCCACTCGGTAAATGGTGAAGGTTTAACCCCTTTTTTAAAGCCATGATGTTTGGAATCCCATTCATGGTGGGGTGACCATGGGGCCCCATGTAACGAATTACAATGCCACATATACTGAGTCCCATGATACTTCCATTCTCCATTCTTCGAAAAATTCTATACCCAAACCCTGATGGTTAGAGAACCATTTATAAAATATCCATTTCTGGTGAATTCACCATATTTATAGCCATTTTTCAGATTCCTGGTGTAACCACCATCATTTTGATGTTTCGTTTTCCAGGCCTGGGTCATGCCACGCCGCTCCGAAGTTCCGAAGCTCCAGGTATTTACATGTTGCGCATCTTGCAATTTCCGCGGCTCTACGGCGTCACCGGATTCGCCAGGCCTTTACGGAGTGATGGCTGGCCGAAAGAAGTGGAGACATTTCTTTACCCGGCCTGGTAAACGTTTACATAACTAGGGAAAGATCCACCATTTTAAATGGGAAAACTCACTATTTCTATGGCCATGTTCTATGTCGCTATGTTAAATTACCAGAGGGTATGCTTTTTTTTGATCCAACGGAGAACAGTGATTTATAGCCAATAGTGTTACCTTGTAAAATCAAAAAAAAACTGGATTATATGATTATATATATAGGTATGGGTGAAAATTGGGTACCCCAAATATTAGATGGTAAAAATACTAACAATAGACATTCCAATCTGTGGTCCCCCGGGTCTTATGAATTTTGAACAGACATATGTGGTTTTTATCACAAGAATATTCTGTGGTTATATGCTTTTGTAGTGATTTGAGACTTCAAACAATAGGCTTTTGACCAATCCCAAACGGCTTTAGCCATTCATAATTGGGATTGAACTAACCAAAAAGAGTGGTTTTTAACCGGAAAATCTGATATGGCCTAATTGGGGATATAGCCAATATATTTAGGTCAAATAAACATGGGAATCTAATGGGATACATATCCAACAACAATAGGAATTTAAACCAACAACCATCGGAAAATCAACGGTCTCCTTGGGGATACAGCCAATATATGGGGGATAAATTGTAATGGTGATGTTTTGTGGGATACAAAGCCAACAATATTCCTGCTTGGATGCGTTTGAACATGGGTTGTATACACTACTTTGTGGCAATTTCAATGGGGCAATGCTGATCAACCATCAAATTTGGACCTGATTTCCGACAATTCATTTAGTGGTAAATTTTGTTGTGACCTCACTAGACGATCTCATCCAAAAAACTAAGCGGAAACCTTTCATTTTCTAAAAACAATTTGCCTAGGTATTTAGATGGCTCTGTAATGGCTTCAAATATCCAGCAAACATGGTGAAATCACCAACAAAGCGTTGGGATGCAACAATTTTTAAAGCCTAGATGTTCCAAACACAACAGTACATCCCAAACAAGCAACGAGCTGCAGGAATACGGCCGCTGACGTGTGGTTCACCCCTCGGATCGCACATCGCTCGGCAACTAAACTAGAGTACATCCTCATTGTTAGCTCTGACGCAGATTTTTCTGGGGGAATCAGCATCGCTCCAGGTGGGTCCGTCGCTGGTTTCATGGCAGCAGTCGGGAGGTGCGCGCTGTGGTGAACATTCTGATGGCCTTGCTGATGTGCCCTGGCTGGGCCAAGGGAGGCCCCAGAGATTTTTTTGGCCTTTTTTGTAGAGATTTCCAGGGAGACCCTGGGTGGTTTCACGGAAAATCCGATGAATATGGATCGTAACTGGGGGCCCCGCCCTATTTTAGGACACCTCGATATCAATCTGAAATCCATGGTGAATCCGCCTTCGCTCAGTTATAATCAAATATAATCAAGTGACTTCCTGTTCAGATGGGAGCCTTGATGGAGAGCTGAGCAGTGTGTTTTTTTTTCAGAAAGGGAGGGAGTGTTTTGATGTCCGGCACCAGTAAACAACGAGAGGGATTTGAGCAGCTACAAGTGAATGTCTTCTGGGAGTTGAAACCAACGTGGTGTATTCAGTTCCAGCAGCACTGAGTGTTGGCTTTCAACTGTATCAAATCTCTGGGTCAGGGCGTGGTGGGTTTGCTGCACTAAAAGTTTAACTTTTGGCAGCGAATCAACGAACCACCCAGTTCAATCACCAGGTTTTGCTGCTTTTTGGTGCTTAAGTCAGGTATCGACGTTCTCCAAGTCCACATTTTTTCCACTAAATGAGCTAAATCCCACAGACTACCACGTTTTTCCATGTGCTCAGGTGCATTTTTTTCCTGCACGTTCTAACGTGTGCTTGGTTTGCCGTTGGCTCGTCCTCATCTGGCCTCCATGGCATGTCCACTCTG